GTCGGCATAATAATACAAAATGGGTCGTTAGTCGTAACCACATCAACAAGTAGGCATCATAATACAACATGGACTTCACTCGTAACCACGTCATCATGTCGGCATCATAATACAACATGGACTTCACTCGTAACCACATCATCAAGTCGGCATAATGATACAAAATGGGTCGTTAGTCGTAACCACATCATCAAGTAGGCATCATAATACATCATGGACTTCACTCGTAACCACATCATCAAGTCGGCATAATAATACAAAATGGGTCGTTAGTCGTAACCACATCATCAAGTCGGCATCATAATACAACATGGACTTCAGTCGTAACCACATCATCAGGTCGACATCATAATACAAAATAGACCTTAGTCTTTACCACATTCAAAAGTCTATCACACAGGACAACGTGGGTCTTAGTCTTTAGTGGTATATTTTTGATCATCCGTCATTTTTTAGTATAATGTTCAAACTGAATCTCAGATAAATCACATAAAGTTGAAAGAAATAAAAATGTACCTTAATCTACGATACTATTTATGAAATTATGGTTGTGGTAAGATAACAGAAATATAATGATGAAATTAAGGCTGTTGTAAGATAACAAACAGTTTACCATTGGCCTTTGCTGACTCATTTCCCAGTTCTGCGACTTCAATATATTGATCCCTGATAGGCTTTCCTGAAGCATCTCTCCATTTAAGCCACACCTCCTTCAATTCTTCGTAGTCACGTGATGAGGCCAGTATACGAGTCAAATCTACAATAGAATTGCATTTCATTTGAAAATCATAAATTATATTTAGTTAAAGATCGAATAGTTAGTTTCTTTATAGCCAATACCGAGATTTTACAGGAAGTTGCACTAAAATAGCTTGAAATTCTTCGGCACATTGTGAAGTATGTTGTGGTTTATATTCAACTAGTTCACTTATTATAAAACCGTAGAATTATTAAACACTTTAGATTTATGATTTTTATATTTTTTACTTTACGTTGACGTGAAATTTTGAAAGCTCGTGACCGATATTCTACTTGTATACACATTTCAGGTCAAACATAATTTATAGTTTAAGAAAAATTATGATGAAAATATTAGTGGATCTTAACGTACTAATTCAATAAATACACTCGTTTTGATTACAAGGCCCGTAGCTTCCCTCATTTTACTTAAAGTTAGATTAAACAGACAAATCTAAAAGCTTTGTAATTTTGGAAAGGAGAGGTTTGATTGTTAAACATAAGCAAGACTTTCAGTCAGGTTATTTATAAGGAAGTCCTAAACGTACCAAAGATAGTACTGTTTATCATGCAGCAAAACAAAAAATGTAATTTACCTGGTTCCAGTGCCAGATTACACTTGTCACGGATACAGACCTTAGCTGTACTGTAAGCCCTCTTCATTTCTGCTTCTAGAGATAACAACTGACGTTACGAAATTTGTATTAGTTTCATGTTTAATGTTGAAGAACAAACAAAAGTAAGTATATATTTTTTTGTAAGTTTTTGACTTTCATTGCCTTAGAGTATGAATATTTGTATAAGGAAAATATTGGATTAACAACTTAATCAAACATAAAAAATAAACTTTCCATAACACACCTCTAAACACACAGTTCCTAAGCCAAGAGTTATGTTAAATGAATATCTGTTTTTTTTTCGTGCTCTGGACTTCTGAATTTCAACTGAATTAGATTCATGTAAAACACAGGATCGGTTCTACACACGAGAATCACAAAACAGCTGGTTTCAACAAAATGATATATTGCAGTCAAGTACTAGTTTCAAAATGAATTAGCAGCCTCAACTTGTCTCACGGCCTAATAACGTGAAGGTGAACACATGAACATACAGAGAAACATATGAGAGACATTATATATATATATTTCTTAAAGGGATCGATTGTCAGTTATCCTTGCCATCTATAAAAAGTTCCATAAAGATGTAACATCTGGAGAAGGGAATTCTCAAAGAACATTCATAACTATTCGTAAAGAAAAATGTTTAACATTAACGTTTCTCATTAACTTTTTAAGATACTTAAATAATAGCAGATAAAATGGTAATATCTTCCTAAATCTTTATAGAATACAAAATACTAGTGTGTAATCACTAGTTTTGGAAAGGTTAGAGAAGTTGTTAGCTTTCACTCTGGATACTTTATAATAATCACTTGTCATTTAATAATTGATTCAAGTTGCTTGCTACATGAGTCCACACGATTACTTGACTAAGTGAAGTGAACATTTATACTCTTCACGTTACTGAATCAGGTTAGAAAGGCCTACTTTTAGTTGGTCACATAAATAAAGAAAGACGACGTAAAGTGGTTGTGTTACACAGTTTTCTTTATAGTTCATTGTATGAAGTGAACTAAGTAACAATGACTCATGATATAAGTAAATATTTCAGCAATTTAAAAACTGGTAAATTAGAGAAGTGTTTGCATGGGCTAAGTTCAAATAATAACTATAATGCAATATGCGAGTTACTTTATTTTTAGAAACAAGTAATATATTGCAAGGCCTTCGAAGTTTAAATTCTTATATCACACAAGTTTTCAATTTTTTTAAATTCTCAATTTAAATAATTCGTAGGAGAAAATTAATTCTCTTTAATGGAGAATTTAGTCCAACCATTCACCCATCTTTTCCAAAGTTTCCCAGAGTTATCGTCTGATCAAACCAAGTCTAACAAAAATAACGTGTTAGAAAGAGTAAGTTTTTTCCTTTCATGTGCGTACCATACGTTAGTTAATGCTACAAGATGACTTTGGACTTTGTTTAGGTTCAATTTAAATGTTTATGAATTTCTTTATTCAGCAATAACAATAAACACCTCATATCTTTCATAGTAATATTTTACCACTTAATAACTGTTTTTCCTTAGACTGTCAAGAATGTAAGTCTTAGAGTACAGATGACTATTCAATCCTCTAAAATAAGCGTGGACTGCAGAAATAAATCTGACACCACTGAATAATCTCTTCTTTGTTAAACTGTGTAAATCCTAATAATCAGGTAAGATTGAATATTAAAAGATACTTCTGTTAATTGCGTAGAACTGATTTAAACAAAGGATTTATAGAAGCTGAATGTTTTACTCTTTCTAGTTTATCCTCATCCAGAGCTGCTGTTCCTAGTACAGACAGTTCTTTAAACTGTCGTTTTAGTAACTTGTCTTCGAAACCTTCCCACTTAAAAAGGATGGTGTCCTTCCATGCTGTTTTCTGAAACTTGTAAAACTTCTGAGACATTTCAACCTGTAAATAAAATAATAATTTTGTGATAAACGTATTTTATTTGTAATTATTAACAGTCAAAACTGAAACAGAAGAAAATTAATGTAATTCATCTTAAGGACAAATTATTATAGGGTACCTAGTTAGTTTAAGAAAACACTGTAAGTTTTTAAGGGCAAGAACGTTAAACATGCTAGTTTAACTTTTGTAAGGTTAAACCTAACCTTTACAACTGCAGTTGAAATGTCAACTTAATGATAAGGCTGCTTTGGTATTGGGTGAAAGGGTTCATTGGCAGTGGATATGGCAGATGTAGTGTGGTTGACATGTTATTACATATTCTTCTTTGCTTTCGCTCATAAGTTCGTAGAAATAGCTTAAGAGAATATAAAACATCTTGTCCACATCACTATAAATACTATGGTTATTTCTCGAAATATGACCTCTCGTGTTTACATACTGGTTAAATTTTACCTGAAATGGCTCGAATTTCTTTATAAACATGGTAAATTCGTCGGTATTTATTCAATGGCTTTGTGAGATAACTTAATATTTTAGTGTTTTAAAGGTACAACTGAAAAAATTCATTCTTGCTTGATTTAAAACTGGCTTTATAAAATGGAACAAGTAGCACTCATCAAGCCGACTGGGATACAACAGATATCGTAGTAGTCGAGATGCTATTTACACCATCGATTTCATGTAAAACAACTGACAGGATGTGAACTAGGTTAAGTAAGAATGATGCTCAACCTCTGGCAGACAAATCAGGATTCTGATTACGGGCGTTCAATATTAATAATATATGATATTCGGCGAGAAATTTATCATATTCAACTATTCCATCTAGTTGCTTTGGCAGAATTAACCAAGTCTACTTTCTACCTTTAAAAAAACATCAACAAAAAGAAACCAACTATTTAAAAAAATATTTTAAAAGAATTGAAGGGTACTTCATGGGGAACATAAGATAAACCACTTATCAACGCCCTGACGTCATTCAAAATAAAGTTAATCCATCATATGTTTTGTTTTTTGATATTGTTTCTGTCTTATAAGCAGAAAATCAGGCTAAGAGAACTTTCTGGTATTAGATCTCTCGGTAAAATATTCTACATTTGCTGCAGTGGTAAACACTGTGTAAAAATGATTTCAACTTGAATATTGTAGCACTGCATTTCAGTGGATGATTCATTTTCCCTTAGGCGAATTGATATTCATTTGTATACTTTTAAGTAAAAGCGGAAATTTCTATTTGAATTTTATACAGGACAAATTATTATTGTGCATGGGCAAACATTTACCACATTTCACCTCTGTGGTACATAACAACGCATTTGTACTTGGCATATGATACAAGTTTCGTTAATTTAGTGTTATTGTTTTCAGAATAACATTATATACATTATTCCAAATTATTAATTCTTTAAGCAACAAAAAATCTACTTACCATTTTCTCAAGGTTGTAATCTGTGATATTGGTGTTGTACTCCCATCGGGCATTTACTGTCTCTTCCAAGGCTTGGGAAAACTTTTTATCTAAATCTTTCATGTAAATTCTTGCAAGTTCTTCATTTTCATACGGAAGGTTGTGCTGAGGCCGGCTCTCAACACACACAAACAGCCCCACTATGGTGGTAACACACAATAAAACAAGCGACAGTTTAATTCGATCCATTCTAGTTTTCTACTAATGAGAATTAGGCTAAACAGCTGTTTATATCTTGTACTGAGACAATTGAATACATTGAAACCTGATAACCTGTTATAATTCCATGGGAACCCAACAGATGGCTCAGCTTAAAGAATTAGATTTGACGTCATTCGTTACGATGTACGAATGAAAAAAAAATCTTATAGTTTGTTACGATGGGTCTCCCTGGAAATTAAAGCCAATACAAAATTCATGATAATATTGCACTGTTGTTGCTTTATTCACGATAATCTATTAAGTATTGTAACGGAATCGTTAATTTATCAGTGATTCTCACGTGTTACAGTTTCCACTGAACGTTGAAAGACTGGTTGTTTTCTTAGCGATAGTTCAAAAATATCGTTTATACGACTCTAAAAGCCAAATGTACTTGCTGAATTGAAGAAAATATATTTAAAAAGTGTAAGAAGACTTAATTTTTATAAAATATTTATGGAAACTATTATGATCGTAAATAGCGTAAAAAAGGGATTGATCTCTCATTTTTCACCTTTAATTTTCTATGTAATATTGAAATATATATATATATATAATAAGTCTACCACCAAAAATAACTGTAAATTAAGGTAAACTATTTTTATAAAGATGCCAAAAAAATTTCGCTTTATAAAATTCAAACAGCGACGTTTTTGCTTATACTGATATAAATCCAAAACTTAATAAAATAAATGTTGAGACAAGACCTTTGCCATTTTTATTCTTGTGTAAACGTACAACTAGAAATAATAAAAGGTAAAAAAATGATGCTCGTCAGTTGTTACTCATGATAAATCTTGACATGATTTTTTAATTCGTAACTCAGTGACTAACATAACTCGACGATTAAGGTTATAAAACCAAAAGTAACTTAAAGACAAAACTTACTTGGTTAATTTCTGACCTCTGTTTATTTTTATGCGGAGACTCTGTTCATCATTGGCATTTGTTAAGATCTTGAGGTAATTTGAGTGGACGACTAAGTCACACTCATCTAGGTTGGTTGGTTGTTTGTTTGGCGTTTTATGGCGCAAAGCAGCTTGGCTATCTGAGCCAAACAACCGGTAAAAACTTATTAAAAATTAGATAAAAACTCAAATATAATTTAAAAGGCCAATAGCCCGCAAAAAAGCTAAAAACACAATCAAGTTGGACAGTATAACCATAGCCTATGACATTGTCCAAAGTCAGGGGTAAGCCCATAGAAAGTACATGTCTTAAATGGTGCCGTCGCTCACGGTTGTAACGAGGCACGACAGTAAAACTTAGGCTATTGTGACTTGAGTGTCACAAAGGCTACATATCGGTTCTAGGGTGTGTTCCAGTACACTTAATCTATTCTAATACCTTATATTTGCGTGCTACTTCACACGAGTTAACAGTTTTCTTGTAGTAGAGCCAATATAACCATGCTGACAGTAAGGATAAATACATTTATAAACAACATTTGATGATTTCAGTGAAGGAATACGATCCTTACATTAAAAAAAATACTATAAGGTTTTAAAATACATCTTTGAGGGTATGCCCTATGAAGTATAGTTCGTAACTGATTTTATACGGTCAGAGAATATTTACAAACATATGATAAAGCTATAAGTAACGGGCATTTAGAAACTCCATACGTAGATGTTTGATAAAAACTTTGCTTGTTGAATTGGTTTGTTATGAATTTCGCGAAAGCTACACGAGATCTATATGCACTAGCCGTCCCTAATTTAGCAGTGTAAGACTAGAGGGAAGGCACCACCCACCGCCAACTCTTAGGATACTCTTTTACCAACGAATAGTGGGATTGACCGTCACATTATAACGCCCCCACAGCTGAAAGGGCGAGCATATTTTGTGGAACAGGGATTCGAACCCGCGATCCTCAGATTGCGAGTCAAGCGCCCTAACCACCTGGCCATGCCGGGCCAAAAAACATATAAAAGTACATACAAAAAAGCGAAAGTACATTGCCCATCCCTTGGACCAGAAACCCGATGTTTTGCGTTATAAGTCCACAGACTTACCGCTGAGCCACTGAGGGGCCCGTGCATTTGTTTGTTTTGAATTTCGCGCAAAGCTACACAAGGGCTAGCCGTCCTTAATTGAGCAATGAAAGACTAGAGGGAAGACAGCTAGTCATCACTACCCGCCGCCAATCATATGGTTTTATCTTGCCTGAAATAAAGTATTCTATTTCAGTTATAATTTATGATACATAATCCATCATAAATAAAAATCTTTAGGAAATCGAGCAATTTTTATCGCATTTTTATCACCTTGACTCAGTATTGATAAAGAGTTATACTTCTCTAGGCATACATATTGAGACTGGTCTAATAGAATATAGTGAAATCAGTTAAGTAATCTACAGCATCATTACACTAAAAACAAAACTGAAACAATTCTTTGAGATTATTTTATTTCACGTGGAGTATGTTCATCACATTACTTAACCTTTTGGCCGGGCGCGATTAGTGGTTAGGCTGGACTGTGAATCTAACGATTCATGGATCATGTTCTGTTGCCACAAAAATACTCACCGCCCTTTAGGGACGTGGGTATACTATACGAGTGATGGTGAAATCCCATTATTCGACCAAACAATAGTGATTGCTCTTCATTAGTTTCCTTCCCTCTATCTTATCAATTCAAAATTATAGACGGCCATGCGTGTGTAGACTTTGCGTAGCTATACGTGGAAATGATAAAACAAAAGAAACGCTTAACGTTCGAGGAAACATTTATTCTCTTACGGCTCAAATAGCAAGAATGTTTGGTGTGACGGGGATTCGAACCCGTGACTCTCAGATTGCGAGTCGAGCCCTCTAGCCACCTGGCCATGCCTGGCCTACTTGTTAAAATAGTTACAAAACATTCGATAAATAACATGTATCCGTCACATTACTAAAGGTATTTAGACGATAGTTTTAGAAACTCTGATCATGTCTCTTAACTGTTAGAGAACTTCAACAGCAAACATAAAATTATAAAAATTTTCTGTTGAAGTTCAAACGATCGTAAACGATAATATTTAGATATGGGGATTCAGAACAGTGATGGTTACTTCAAATAGGAAGTTCACCATTAAAAAACGAACATTGGTTTGTATTTTACTTCCATAACCTTTGCACCAAATGTGTTTAAAGAAAATTTCAAGTTCTTATGGATTTTTGTATAAAGGATTTAATAATATTAAATAATTTGTATGCACAAATATTTTTCTTTAAAAGTATCGTATAAATAACGGTTTAAAATACTACATTGCTCTTCATGATAACAGAGAAAAAGATTAGATAAAGAAGGAGCCATTTTAGAGCCTACAGCCACTCTATCAATTTAATCATAAAGATTAAGTAGAAAATGCAATTTTTTCGTTGCAAAACTTATCAATTTAAAAAATATAAATTTAGAAATGGTTAAATCATTAGAGTTGTTGAAAATCAAATCAGCGCATAACTGTATTGTTTTTTCTAAAGATATATTCTTATACAAAAAATGAACATCAAAGCCATCTCAAAAAATATGTCTATCAAACTTCGATCTTTGTGTTCCATCACAAAACTTAAAACTGTCCTTCAATGTATATTCATTAGTAGTAAAAGTCTTCAGAAAATTAAACGAAAAGCCAGCCAAAGCACGATTGTAAGTTTAAATATTTGAAACTATTAGTCGTAACGGGCCTATTTCTTTATGAATTTAAGGATCTTACTCGGATTTGGTATTTTAGGGATGGAGCTAATGGAAATATTGTCAGCCAGTTTTACTTGTACAATAGCTGAACTCCGTTCAATGAAAGACCATATACTGATGACCAAGTTAGGCCAAGAACAGCATGCATTTTCATCATCCGATGCAGTGATAGAACAAATACATGAAACGCTGTTTTCTATCTGGCAACCAAGCTAAACTAGCTCAAAGAGTTAGCTGTCTGAATGCTATGACTATGCCAGTGTTGGTGTGTAATTTAACTTTCCAGCTTCTGTTTATTATAGTTATCGGCATGGTGATGAAAGAAGATATGACACAGAAAAACTTTTACTACAGTTGTACCACATCCAAATGTATATCTATACTTATTTCTGAGCGTCTCGAATTGGTGGTTGAGGATTATACTATCAATGTAAGCTCGCCACAGAGACAAAAACTGAATGATTTATCATTATGTTGGATGTACTTTTAGGAAGGGTATAAATATTCATACATGTACACCATAGAGACGTGCTCCGATTTGGGAGTTATAATTTTTATACTTAATGGCATTGGAAAACTAATATTTATGGATCAATTTGAGGTACTAGGACCATCCGGAAAGACATATACAACAAGTCATATACCCCAGTTGTGGTAAGCAAAATACAGTGTCTTATAACAAGCGAGATAACTTACAAACATAAAGGTCAATGGTAAAAATTGTTCACCTGTTTCAAGCAACAGTACACAACATAATCAAGAAAGATCTCCATCTGGAAAAGTAACACAAGCTGCTTTCGTGATACATTCGTTCAACTATCGCATACCTCAATCAGCTATTTATATTATTCCACATGAAGACATACCGGTAAAGTCGCCCGATGCACTGCCTATAGATTTCTGTGTGATTGTGTAAAGCCTACTACTATATTAGTTACATGATTCAGATTGCTAACATTTACTTTTACGTTTGGTTCTAGGCAGGTATATATATATATATATATCCTTATTTTGGCAAATGACTCAAAATTTTCTTTTAGTTGTTTTTTATTAATTAAGCCTTTGTAGGCAGGTTGTAAATAGTCGTGAAATTGCATTCATCCTAACTACTGGCTTTGAGTACATATACATTTACAGAATTTATACTTACTTGGTCATGTTTCTATATCACTGCTCTTCTAGGGCGTTAGTCATACCCAAAGTGAGTGGTGTTACAGAAGTTTGTACACGTTAGTATGAGATAGTAGTTAATCTCTCC